ATATCTAGGTATCTGGTTGGATTCATCCCTGTCATTCATTACACGCATCAATAACCTTCAAACAAAAGTCAAAGCTAGACTAGCCTTTCTTTTCCGTAATAAAGCCTCTTTTACCCATGCTTCCAAATGCACCCTCGTTAAGACGACAGTACTGACAATTTTGGATTACGGCGATATTATCTACAGAATGGCACCAAAAACAGCTTTAAAAAAACTTGACACAATCTATCATTCAGCCATCCGTTTTGCCACTAATGCATCCTTTCACACTCATCACTGTGACCTGTATAAACTGGTGGGTTGGCCCTCCCTTTATACCCGGCGGCTCCATCATTGGTTTCTCTTCATATACAAGACAATTCTGGGCAAGGCACCTTCTCTATTTGTCATCCCTACTTCATGCCGCTCATAACACCTATCACACAAGGTCAAGTAATTTGATTAAATTTAGATTTGGCATCCTCGCCCGGAGCTGTGGTCCCTGCACGCATGGGCCATCAACGGGTACCCGCAAACCTCCCGGAGGGAGTGTTAAACACGATCACGCAGGCTTGAGCGCCGTCTACTAGACGACTCTATTCCTCAAAATGGTCTGTGTTTTCTGGCTGGTGCAAAGCCCGAGGCTTTTCACCACTAGACTGCGGGGTTACGGAAGTTCTCACCTTCCTTCAAGAGCTACTGGATAAGGGCAGAACCCCATCCACGCTCAAAGTTTACGTGGCGGCCATAGCAGCGTTTACAAAACCCGCGACTGGCCAGTCATTGGGGAAGAACGATCTGGTCATCCGCTTCCTTAAAGGAGCTAAGAGGCTGAATCCTCCCAGACCCCCCTCAGTCCCCATGTGGGACCTTTCCACGGTTTTGGAAGCCATGAAAGGTGCCCCGTTCGAGCCAATCCACTTGTCGGACATGAAACATCTGTCATTCAAGACAGTGTTTCTTATGGCTTTTGCTTCAGTGAAGCGCATAGGGGATTTACAAGCGCTCTCAGTAAGCGCGACGTGTATGGAATTTAGGCCAAATGACTCGAAGGTCATACTCAAACCAAGACACGGATACGTGCCTAAATCCCTCAACACACCATTCAGGGCTCAGGTTATTTCCCTGTCTGCCCTGCCGGTTTACAACGAGGAAAAGGACGCGAGCTTCCTTTGCCCAGTCAAGGAATTATGTGTCTCGCTCGTCTGTTTTCAGACAGACTGAGCAGCTCTTCATTTTGTTCAGCGGACGTGCTAAGGGACTAGCCGCATCGAAACAGAGCCTATCCAGATGGATAGTTGATGCTATAGCGCTGGCATACACGTCTAAAGGCTTGAAGTGTCCTTTAGGTGTTAGAGCGCACTCCACAAGAGGCATGGCCTCGTCGTGGGCTTGGTCTAGCGGGATTACCTTTGCAGGATATCTGTATGGCGGCAGGCTGGGCCTCCCGGTCTACATTTATAAGGTTTTATAACCTAGAGGTTCCCGCCTTACAGGCTAAACTACTTTCGGTCTAAAATCAGTATTGTCTGCCCCGTTGCTTCGGCTCAGAATACTACAACCGCTTGAGCACCGCTCGCTGATCGATAAAATTACCCCATGGGCAAAAGTAAGACCCATACTGTTACACAGTTCAGGCCGAACATTTTCACCCTGACTGTGTGGAACACTGTTAATGTGATTAGCTCCCTTAGGACACTAACTTATTGGGAATGACGCTCCTAGCCTCTCTTCTCAGACTCTCTGTGAGTCCCTGGTGATTATGCACTATATGAGCCCCGGGCACTTGCCCTTGGGACTTTGGTGTTGGATCCCAGCACGCACAGCATTTTACACTGTGTTCCCCTAGTGTAAGATATTACGCAGTACGAGAGAACCTCTCGTGAGAGAACGTACTCGGTTACTAACGTAAACTCGGTTCTCTCTAGAAGAGGGAACGAGTACTGCGTATCTTTGCCGTGCCTGCAACACGCTCTGGTTCGCTTCGGCGATGAAAAAACAGATTATATCGGCTCATCGAGCTATATTTATAGGCCCAGGACACGCCCCCGCTTTGGCGGGAGGTGACGTAGTGGGCACGAAGCGCCCTCATTGGATCTGACGTCACCAAGGGCCTCTCTAGATAGGCTGCTGCAGTTGCCGCAGGACAGCCAATAGGCACGCGAGCCGTCTTGCCTATGTCTGTATGCTGCCGCAACGCGTTTTACATTAATTCAAAATTAAGGATAATTTTTGGCTTCAATATCTCGAGGAAAAGAGGTTTTCCCCTAGCGTAAGATATTACGCAGTACTCGTTCCCTCTTTTAGAGAGAACCGAGGTTACGTTAGTAACCGAGTACGTTTTTTCATAGATTTTTTGTTCATGTATAGATTTTTATGAAAGAAACAAAATACTTTTATTCAGCAAGGAAGGATTCAGCATTTTTAAGGTTACAAAAGATTTATATCTCAAATAAATGTTGTTTTCTTGAACTTTCTTTCATCTTATTTATCACGAAAAATTAAGCAGAACAACTTTTCAACATTAACCCTCTGGAGACCAAGAACGCGCCCGCGCGTTTTGCTGTTTTTTTTTTTTTTCACATAGCAGCAACATAGACTTAAAATACTCCATCATTTATGGTCATATAAATAAAATCAATACATGATTATAAACTATAGAGGGTCTTCTTTTTTGTGTACACTCACATTAAGATGAAAACCTTTTTTTTTTTTTTTAAATAAATAAAATAAACAGGGTGCGCTTTCAGCTCACTCTGTCTCCGCAAAAATCTTTCTGAAACATGTCTGGAAAACGAACTGAAAGTCAGCTAATACTTATCACACAAACATGAAACATACGTCTAAAGAACGCTTTAAATTTCTACTTTTAAATAAAACAATTCACATTTAAAACAAATATTCTCCTGCAATGTAATCTGTCTGAAACTAAAGAGAAGTACAGTTTCTCCTGTCTCAGCTCATTATCGTTAATTTGTTCACACCCACTAGCAGAGCGCGCTATTCATAAGATAATGTGTTGAGGCCATATGCTATAGATAAACGCCCCCAGGCAAATGCTGTAAACTACACTATATTTTTTAGTCAGATTAAGATTCGTCTATGAGGAATAATCCTGGGACATTTACCTCAGAACAAGTGCTGGTTTATTTTCACTTCGAGGAGGAGCAACAGATTCAGCTGAGAAGTGTAAGTGTTTTATGCTTGTGCTTTGTTCTAATCGCAATATAGAATAACGTTAGTGTCTGTAAATGGAAAATAGCATACTGTTTAAATGTGAATCATGTTTCTGTGTGTGTGTGTGTGTGTGTGTGTGTGTGTGTGAATGAATGAATGAACGCACAGATACGCACTGTTACAGACGAAATAAAAGACAAAATTTCGTTGACTAGTTTTGGATAAAGTTTTTCAAATCAAATAAGCTTCAAAATAAAGACATCAAATAAGCTTTTGTTAGGAGTTTCTGGGGATAGAAGTGTCCAGACGTATGCACCCTGTATTTTAAAGAAGAACATTTAATTATTTCCGATACATTATTCATTCACAAAGAATTAAGGGACATTATTCATGTCCCTAAAGGTTGGAGTTTTCCTCATTTTTTTAATTAAGGCATTAAGATTTTTTATTCCTCTTTTTAGTCAACTTTAGCATGGGTGTGTTCACTTATTCTAAGCAGTGTGTGTGTGTGTGTGTGTGTGTGTGTGTTTGTGTGTGTATATATATATATATATATATATATATATATATATATATATATATATAATTAAAAAGCAATTTTAACCAGAAAAATCTACAATGCATGCCCAAAGTCGTGCAGCCATATAGTTTCTCTTGATATCAGCATGTTTACAGGTGTTTATTTATTTTTTTACAGGGACAAAATGCCACTGATGAGTCCTGCTGACTTCAACATTCACAGGAGACTGTACATGAACATAGTAAAATGAAAAATCAAACACCTTGGAAATGACAGGTATGTACTATGTTTCAGGAATGGGACAATGCTGGGTGACTGTGCAAGCCTCTGTCTTTAGATCAGTGTGTTTACTAATGTGCTTTTTTGTCCTTTGTTGTGTATCTTTGGATTATGTTGTGTTGTAAATAAATCCAAACAATCTAAAAGCCATTGTTTTTTAAATCTCCTCATTCTTTGTGCAAGGCTCCTCGTAATGATAGGGCCTGATAGCACCTAATAGGGCCATTATGGGAGGGTCTTTGTCTTTCTCAGGTGTGAAATGCCATACATATTAATGAGAGATCACGCCTCCTCGCATAAAACTTTCTCAAACAAAACACGTCATACACATTCTAAAAGACTTTATTGACTTATCTGAATGAGTAGTCAGGATGATTCTCACATAGTTTTGGAGCAAATATTCTAGACTATGTGATACAATTTTCAAAAGTCTTGTGAAGAAATAATCAATATGTGTTTTGTGGCCTTATTGTAGAAACTTTTATTTTTAAGTTTTTCAATAACCATGCATAAATAATATTCTCTCAAAAATACAAACATGTACATACATGTTGCTCACATATTATGGTAGCCCCGTTTGTGCTATATAGAGTGAATTTACACCTTTGGCATTAACATGTTTATAAATAACTGAAAAAAGCACAAATGTCAGTGCATGTCAAAACATCCCAAGGGCCCCAAAAACCCCTTGGTCCCCAGAGGGTTAATAATAATGTAATAAGAAATGTTTCTTGAGCAGCAAATCAGCATATTACAATGATTTCATCATGTGACACTGAAGACTGGAGTAATGATGCTGAAAATGCAGCTTTTCCATGACAAAAATAAAATTTTAATATTAAAATAATTGCAATAATTGCAGTTTTGACTGCATTTTTGATCAAATAATTGCAGCCATGGTGAGCATAGAGAGAGCATTAAAAATGTTTGATCAAACCCAAACTTTTGAACGGTAGACTATACCATTACCATGATATAAAATGACTCATACTATGATACACCGGCGCCCACTCATTCTTTTACACAAAACCCAAAGAAGATGTACCTGCACTTGAAAAGGACTTCACTTGTTTTCCTCCAAGGAGTTGAGCGGCTTTGGAGAGCTGCTTCTGCTGAGTCTGCGTCAGCTGACTGCCAATCAGAACCACTGGACCCGTCTCCCGCACACAGCCTGCAGCCTACAAGAATACAAATAAACTATACCGCACACTTCATTTGCATTTATGCTCTTGACAAATGTGGTCTAAAAGCAACATACAAGATAAAGTGCAAAATACCAGCAATTTTGGTCTGTTTGTTTTCAGTGTGTCTATTTGTTTGTGCCAAGGGTTCGGGTCGTGTACCTTATTGAGGCTGGCGCGGGGCCTCAGGGTGGTTGTTAAAGCTTCCGGGGCCATTCTTAGGACCTCCTGCATTTCTGGAGTCAGTGCATAATCCACCGGCCGCAGGCCAAGCATATTTCTGGGAAACACAGACGTATGTATAGTTTATGCAAAGTACACTTTATTAAAAAGAAAAACATTTTCAAGGACATATTTGACATACTGTGTATCCTCTAGATGTTTTTCTGTTAAGCCTGCTAATACATTGCGCACACAGAAAAGTTGGTGCTTCAACCAGCCTGAAATAAATAAGCCTCACAAAATGGTGCACTTTGTGGATTTGTTTTGTGAACTTCAAAGCAATTCACAAATAAATGCCACAAGAATGTAAGATGTCCCTTTTGTCATTTTGTGACTTAAAAAGGAGCTCACAAAATACCCTCTTTGTGCCATTTTACCAAAAGTCAATGCAACTGGTCTCGTCTTGACCAATCATAGAGGACGGGGTTTTGTGGCAGAGGGGAAAAGATGGCGGATACAAATGTGAATGTAATATTGTTTTACTCTTTCCCCGCCATTGACGTCATTTATGAGACAATGCTTCCACGCCATTGATGGAAATTTCCGGCTTTCCGTGTTTTCACTGTTATACGGTAGAGGACGCTATTAGGCATCTTCTGAAAGTACTGAACCTCCTGATCAAAAGACATGTGAAGAATATCATATGTAAGCAGAAGCATATGTAAAATAATGCGATCCTCAAAATTAAACAGCATATACATTAAAACTGCCTAATGTTACCGAATGAAATGTCGACCCAGGACGAGTTATAGGACTGTGAAAGCTTTAGGGGTGTTGATGGACTCGATCTACTCCATCTATGTTTTGATCATCGTTCTGAATCTGATCTGGATGTAGTCTTAAACAAAAAACACGATTTTCTCAGCTTTTTGCTCAAAATGTTGCTTTTTTATGATATTTATGTGTATAACCCACATTCAAATGTTGATGAAAAAAACTTTTTGTTTGTTTGTTTGATTAAAAGGAGAGGCTCTGTTCTTTCTTTTGATATATTGCATGTTCAGATATTCATACAACCGGCAACTTTTGAATATATATATAAAAAATAAAATAAAAAACGCTGCCGGGGAAAGAGTTAATTGGCTAAAAAAAAGCCAGAGATATTACTCATAATTTTGATGGAATGTTCTCCTTGGAGAACTTTTGTACTTATAATAGTGTTATATTTCTAAAGCAAGTAAACAAAATCTTTATTTTTTCATCAATAAGGATTTTAGAATTGCTATGAATCTCCAAAGTATTAAAATCAAGATGATTTTCCTGCACACTGCTGTAGCTGTCAAAATTCCTAATATTTGTTTATTATTAATCATGACAAAAGAAGCATTTCTGTTTAAATAAATGGGATTTTGTATGCTACAGCAGTTTATTGGACTTTTTCCCATTCTGTATATGTATCTGTGTCCTGCGTACCTGTTTGCAACCATCAAGGTGTGTTAATATAAAGAATAACTTTAGTAAAAAGAAAAAAAAATACACTTTTATTCAGCAAGGACGCATTAAAGCGATACTGAAAATGAAAATTCTGTCATCATTTACTCACCCTCAAGTTGTTGCAACCCTGTATGGGTTTCTTTCTTCTGCTGAACACAAAGGAAGATATTTTGAAGAACGATTGGAAATTTGGCACCATTGGCTTCCATAGTATTTTTTTTTTCTACTATGGAAGTCAATGGTGCCAAACAACTGTTTGGTTCCAATCGTTCTTCAAAATATCTTCATTTGTGTTCAGCAGAAGAAAGAAACTCATACAGGTTTGAAACAACTTGAGGGTGAGTAAATGATGACAGAATTTTCATTTTCGAGTGGAGTATCCCTTTAAATTGATTAAAACTAAAAGCGACAGTAAAGATGCTTATGTTATAAAAAATGTATGCTCCAAACAGGTGCTGTTCTTTTGAACCTCCAATTCATCAATGAATCCTTGTTTCCACAAAAAATATTAAGCAGCACAACTGTTTTCAACATTGATAATAATAAGAAATGTTTCTTGAGCACCAAATCAGCATACTAAAATGATTTCTGAAGGAGTTAGGATCTTATGACAGTGAAAATTGAAGTAATGGATGCTGAAAATGTATATATTAACTGATATATTCAAATGTATTTTAAATTGTAATAATATTTCACAATGTTATTTTTAACCATTTATGATCAAATAAATGCAACACTGGGGAACATAAGAGGCTTCTTTCAAAAACATAAAAAAAAATATAAGGCAAAGCGTAGGACATTTGAGGTTGGCATTAGGGACAGGGCCTCAAAATACTCAAGCGTTTGCAGATTACAGAATTTAAACAGTGTAACTCACTTAGTATGCAAAACTATCAGATGAGCGAGAGGTTAAGGCCTAGGACAAACCCGAAACGGATCTGTTTGGCAAGCAGTATGTGACGGTCGGATCATTTGTCCCTGTTGGCTGTTAGGGAAAGAGAGGTGGAAATGAAAGAAAGTCGAGAGGGATGCATGTTGAGATTAAGCTTTAGCACAGATAACACCTGGGGGGCAATTAAGAGGTCCACTGGTCTATAAAATTTCATTTGGATTCATGAGCCACCCCACACCCCCCAAACAAGCCCACAGTCTCTTCACACTCCCATTGGATGTAAATTATTTTGTTTATAGGACGGCGCACAGCTTCTAATCTCAAAAAGTGAAAATCCAATAATGCCAAAGTGTCTCATACGCAGACGCCACATACATACGTGTGTGTGTTACCCATACTGATAAAGGGGAGGTGTGCAGTCATCACCTCCAGCAAAATAAGACACTCCATGCGGTTAAAGAGTGATATTAGTAAGCTAAAACCTCTCAGCAACTGCATCTATCTCGCAGTTGACAAATCAGACACAGATGCCAACGGTAAAAGGGACCAATGAATCACAGATCGATGGAGATGTGAAAATTAGTCCTCGGAGGTGCTCCAGCTGTTCCTGTTCACATAACCGAAGCAATCAAGAATGGTGGCGCTAAGCACTAGAGCTAACCAGATCTCATCGACTGAAAGAAAGAAGTTCGCTCCTTTGCTCGGATCAGATCAACAAAACAAATCAAGCTCATGCAAGCCCAATCAATCTAAATTTTCCTACTAGTACACAGCTGTTGTGTTCCAAAGCCTAGTGAGCTGCCTCACTAAGTGTCTTGGAATCTTAATTATGCTGCCTCCTAAAACACCCAAGACCAGAATGCACTGCACCAAGCTGAAAATTTGTTAAAGATTAGTGGTTGATCAGCATAGCTTTTTCAATGGTGTTGCCGATACCGACAATCAGCCAAGCAGGCATTACAATTTTAAAATGGTCAAATATTGGCTGCTTCATCTTTTAACAAAAGTTGTTGTTAACTCTCTATTACACTGTGCCTCGTTTACAAGTCAATCTGCAGTCAAATTCTCAGAACAAACATATCATCATCCGAAGCGATCTGGGACGCCATTAAAATAAACCATCCACTTGTTTCCAGTCTGTACAGAGACGCAAAGGAGCTGTTTAAACTGGACTGACAGACTCAAGCGCGCGGAGTATGTTAGAAACTGAAAATGCATCTGTATCTAGAGATGCACCATTAATTGTTAAAAGATCACGATCTCATTCCTTTCAGCTGTGTCTATTAAAAGGTACAATATGTAAGAATTATGTATCAAAATATCCACGGGCACAGTGTTATTTATTTCTTTCAATTATGTACTTACATTATCCTAAATGTTTCCAAACTCTATTTATATATATATATATTGGTGTGCAGTGGTGTTTTGAAATGAGACAATGTATATAAATATATATGTTTATGAATATAAAGAAGCGCTGTTTGTGATGTTCTGCGAGTAGCTGTCTGTGCAGAACGTTCCAAATCAGTCACATATGAGGTCCTGTGACAGTTAGGTGCTGCTTATGCAGCCAGCAGAACACTCGCTAAGTTTTGGAACAGAAATACCGACTCCGTCTTGCTTGTACTTGCTACCTGCATGGTCCCCCAAGAAGCGTCTTTTCTGTTCTGAAACGCATTAAAGATTACTGCTGGTACAGCAGGGATGTGCCAGTCAATTCATGCAACACATTACAGCGAAGGCTCTGCCCACAGCAGTTCCCCACATAGCCCCACTGCTCCGATTCCAGACCGCAAGGAGTGAAAGTGATTGATTACGTCTGACAGGAGTGGATTGCTTCTGTGCAGTGCTTCTATGACAGAGCTGATGCTTCACTTCACCATTGACTAACGAAGCATAAATCTGCTGATGCTTTATGCTCTCCCAATGTACAGCACAGCACTAGTCAATCAATGTACAAAGGGCAGACAGACAAAAAGAGACGCAGAGACGTACACAGAGAACTCTCGGGATGAGTATTCGTGCATCTGGGTTTGCTGCCAATCTTGGGGAAATAGAGTTCATTAAGATAAAGGGCATGTGGGAAGAAGCGGAACAGAAGTTCCCTAACATATCTACACCAGGTATACACAACGGCGCAGTCACAAGATATGAGCGAGATATGAACATATAAAGTTGCAACGGTAGACATGTCTCAACTTGTAGAGATTTTGCAACATCTTTTGTAGTGCAGACTCGGTCAAATGCAGATATATCGACTTCTTCACAACTATTCATTTAATAGTATTAGTTGTATTGTTTGTTTTGATTACAGTTTGATGCAAGATGTGTATTTATGTTATGAAAAATTAAAACAAATTAATTAATAATTAAATATCAAATGAGATAAAGTTATTTTAATATTTAACATTTTATTTCACTGGATTGTCCAAAAGTCCTTGCAGTTCAGCCTTTTGACCGGTAGTGTATACATGTAGTTTTTGCTGCTTAATATTTTTGTGAAAACAGTGATACACAATCATTCAAAAGTTTGGGTTAAGGTTTTTTTTTTTTTAAGAAATCAATACTTTTATTCAGCAAGACAACTAAGACATTTATAATGTAACAAAATATTTCTATTTCAAGAAAATGCTGCTCTTTTGTTTTTTCTATTTATTATAAAAAAGTATCACAAAAACTGAAAAATACAAACATATACATACACACACGAGAATGTGAAGTCAAGTACTCACAGAACACTTTGGGACGCGCCTCGTTCAACCAAGAGCTTGACCACCGCTATGTGGCCGTTCCTGATGGCATCATGCAGTGGAGAGTCGTTCTGATAACCTGGTGTGTTCAACAGCGCCCCCTGCTGAAGCAGTTCCTCCACCACTCCCAGATGACCGAGATTACAGGCCTCGTGCTGCAAAAACAAAACACAATGATAATACATAATTGCCTTAGTACAACAATGTTCTATCATATTATGAAGGATTATACGAGTGAGAGCATTATTATAATAATCTTGACCCAATAGTTCCACAGAATCAACAGCTTGGCAAAGGTCTTTAAGCCAGACCTGTGGAATTTATCACTGGGGGAAATGCAGTTATATATTTGCAGAGATTTTTCTAAGAAACTTAGAACATGTTGTGGTTCATTATTCCAGTTTTGAAAGGTTTTTCATAGAAAATGTATGATTCAGCTGTCAAGACTCCTTTTCCCAATTCTCAGTAGCCTACTGTGAAAGAAATAATGATATATTATTTAAACTGTAAAATACATTTGTAAAGTACAATTTCAAATATATGGGACCAGATCTAAGGGTCACAGTTTTTTACTCCAGTGAATATTTCTCAGGGTATGTTTACTTTTTAAAAGTACATTTCCGTGGAGTCACAAACCATGGAGTCTTGGCTACAAATAAAAAAGCTACGGTACAAACATTTCCACCAGTGTTACTCAGGAATGAAAGATACAGTTCACTGAAAACTATCTATATTGGGTAAGCATGGTCTATAACACTATATGGAGTAGGTTTTCACAATGGAACCTGCCAATAAGCATAAGCATAATTTAAACAGCAAAACTACTATGAAAAACAAAACATTTCATAAAAAGATAAAAATATCAAACCATTGTTTTGGCCAACAAATCTTTTTTTTTACATTATAAAACTATTTAAATGTATAATCCTTATCACTTGACAACTTGCCCCAATCTGACATAATTATGTAAAAAAAAAAATATATATATATATATATTATACATAAATAATAATAATAATAAAATAAAAACCCTTATATATACATACTAATATATATATATACACTCACCGGCCACTTTATTAGGTACCCCATGCTAGTAACGGGTTGGACCCCCTTTTGCCTTCAGAACTGCCTCAATTCTTCGTGGCATAGATTCAACAAGGTGCTGGAAGCATTCCTCAGGGAGTTTGGTCCATATTGACATGATGGCATCACACAGTTGCCGCAGATTTGTCGGCTGCACATCCATGATGCGAATCTCCCGTTCCACCACATCCCAAAGATGCTCTATTGGGTTGAGATCTGGTGACTGTGGAGGCCATTTTAGTACAGTGAACTCATTGTCATGTTCAAGAAACCAATTTGAAATGATTAGAGCTTTGTGACATGGTGGAAGTAGCCATCAGAGGATGGGTACATGGTGGCCATAAAGGGATGGACATGGTCAGAAACAATGCTCAGGTAGGCCGTGGCATTTAAACGATGCCCAATTGGCACTAAGGGGCCTAAAGTGTGCCAGGAAAACATCCCCCACACCATTACACCACCACCACCAGCCTGCACAGTGGTAACAAGGCATGATGGTTCCATGTTCTCATTCTGTTTACGCCAAATTCTGACTCTAACATCTGAATGTCTCAACAGAAATCGAGACTCATCAGACCAGGCAACATTTTTCCAGTCTTCAACTGTTCAATTTTGGTGAGCTCTTGCAAATTGTAGCCTCTTTTTCCTATTTGTAGTGGAGATGAGTGGTACCCGGTGGAGTCTTCTGCTGTTGTAGCCCATCCGCCTCAAGGTTGTGAGTGTTGTGGCTTCACAAATGCTTTGCTGCATACCTCGGTTGTAACGAGTGGTTATTTCAGTCACTGTTGCCCTTCTATCAGCTCGAACCAGTCTGGCCATTCTCCTCTGACCTCTGGCATCAACAAGGCATTTCCGCCCACAGAACTGCCGCTCACTGGATGCTTTTTCTTTTTCGGACCATTCTCTGTAAACCCTAGAGATGGTTGTGCGTGAAAATCCCAGTAGATTAGCAGTTTCTGAAATACTCAGACCAGCCCTTCTGGCACCAACAATCATGCCACGTTCAAAGTCACTCAAATCACCTTTCTTCCCCATACTGATGCTCGGTTTGAACTGCAGGAGATTGTCTTGACCATGTCTACATGCCTAAATGCACTGAGTTGCCGCCATGTGATTGGCTGCTTAGAAATTAAGTGTTAACGAGCAGTTGGACAGGTGTACCTAATAAAGTGGCCGGTGAGTATATATATATATATATATATATATATGTTTGTGTGTGTGTGTGTGTGTATATATATATATATATATACACACACACACACAAAACATTTCAAAGACTACCACAAACATGGAAAGGCAATGGTGAAATCTACATTATCTATTAATGCAGTTGAGTGAACATGCAGCGTTCTGCTAGGATAACATACATTACTGTACAAACAAGGAAAAGCTTTTCAACCATTTTCGGCCCAGACAACCTCGAACAAGAGACAAGGCAGTGTAAAATATTTATACTGAATTGTGTGCGAGTTCTCTTCACTCACCAGTGGTGTCCAGCCTGCGTTGTCCTTCAGGTTGGGGTCAGCTCCCTGAGCAAGGAGCTTACGGACCTCCTCCACATCACCCTGTACAAAAGACCAGGGTCAAAAGATCAGTGGTAGATATTGATCAACCAGACTCAAACACTGACCTAGCATCCATCATTAAGTAGTCAAAGTGACTCGCAGCTAGAATACTAATAAAGAACAATCTCAGATACAAGCAAACAAATGCGGTAATAAATAGTAGATTTAAACTGCTGGTTCTGAGACGCACAAATTGGTGACATGGACAGGAGGGGGGAAATACTAAACTGAAATAATAAAATGCTGCAGCTATGTAATTGACATGTGCATAGTTAAGAATAAAAATAGGCTTACCATATATTCTGGAATTAGTGGAATTTTTGTATCATTTGAAACATCCTGCAACTTACACTGAACAAAATTATAAACGCAACACTTTTGTTTTTGCCCCCATTTTTCATGAGCTGAACTCAAAGATCTAAGACTTTTTCTATGTACACAAAAGGCCTATTTCTCTCAAATATACTGTTCACGAATCTGTCTAAATCTTTGTTAGTGAGCACTTCTCCTTTGCCGAGATAATCCATCCACCTCACAGGTGTGGCATATCAAGATGCTGATTAGACAGGATGATTATTGCACAGGTGTGCCTTAGGCTGGCCACAATAAAAGGCCACTCTAAAATGTGCAGTTTTACTGTCCTGGGCTGGTGTGGTTACACGTGGTCTGCGGTTGTGAGGCCGGTTGGATGTACTGCCAAATTTTTTTAAACACCTTTGGAGCCATTTTAAAAAGGTTGTTGATAGTGGCCTGTGGAATGTTGGTCCACTCCTCTTCAATGGCTGTGCGAAGTTGCTGGATATTGGCAGGACCTGGAACACACTGTCGTATACGCCGATCCAGAGCATCCCAAACACATCAATTCATGCTGACTGCAGGAATGTCCACCAGAGCTGTTGCCGTGAATTGAATGTTCATTTCTCTACCATAAGCCATCTCCAAAGGTGTTTCAGAGAATTTGGCAGTACATCCAACTGGCCTCACAACCGCAGACCACGTGTAACCACACCAGCCCAGGACCTCCACATCCAGCATCTTCCCCTCCAAGATCGTCTGAGACCAGCCACCCGGACAGCTGCTGCAACAACATTTGAGAGAAATAGGCCTTTTGTGTACATAGAAAAAGTCATAGATCTTTGAGTTTAGCTCATGAAAAATGGGGGCAAAAATGGAGTTGCGTTTATAATTTTGTTCAGTGTATATAATGCAATTAACGCCAAGCACGCAGACAAAATACTCTTTAACAAAAATCATTAACTATGTATTTTGAATTTGGTGAATGACTTTATGTTGGTCAACACAGTAGTACAGAAATTATTCATCTCTTGGCTTTCAGTTTTTATCCCTCCTCACATTCATTTACACAGTGTTTTTATATAGCGCATTTCCCACATGCCAGTAATTTAGTTTCACCACAAATTCATTTAGTCTTGGTCTTTCTAATAAATATTCTTTATAATGAATGCCATTGTAGATTAGTTTATACTTATATTTTTCAATCTTGTTCTATAGACTATTAAGCGTTTTTGTGGAGTGAGTGGAAATAAAACATGTTTTTAGTGCTTATAATGTTTATAAACGTTTTTATTTACCGGTATTTTACATTATTTCTGAATGTAATAACAAAATGCTTACACCGATGCAACTTTTGTGGTAACAAAAGGGATGCGCATCATTAAAATTCTGTCTGATACTTACACTCACCGGCCACTTTATTAGGTACACCTGTCCAACTGCTCGTTAACACTTAATTTCTAAGCAGCCAATCACATGGCGGCAACTCAGTGCATTTAGGCATGTAGACATGGTCAAGACAATCTCCTGCAGTTCAAACCGAGCATCAGTATGGGGAAGAAAGGTGATTTGAGTGACTTGGAACGTGGCATGATTGTTGGTGCCAGAAGGGCTGGTCTGAGTATTTCAGAAACTGCTAATCTACTGGGATTTTCACGCACAACCATCTCTAGGGTTTACAGAGAATGGTCCGAAAAAGAAAAAACATCCAGTGAGCGGCAGTTCTGTGGGCGGAAATGCCTTGTTGATGCCAGAGGTCAGAGGAGAATGGCCAGACTGGTTCGAGCTGATAGAAGGGCAACAGTGACTGAAATAACCACTCGTTACAACCGAGGTATGCAGCAAAGCATTTGTGAAGCCACAACACGCACAACCTTGAGGCGGATGGGCTACAACAGCAGAAGACTCCACCGGGTACCACTCATCTCCACTACAAATAGGAAAAAGAGGCTACAATTTGCAAGAGCTCACCAAAATTGAACAGTTGAAGACTGGAAAAATGTTGCCTGGTCTGATGAGTCTCGATTTCTGTTGAGACATTCAGATGTTAGAGTCAGAATTTGGCGTAAACAGAATGAGAACATGGAACCATCATGCCTTGTTACCACTGTGCAGGCTGGTGGTGGTGGTGTAATGGTGTGGGGGATGTTTTCCTGGCACACTTTAGGCCCCTTAGTGCCAATTGGGCATCGTTTAAATGCCACGGCCTACCTGAGCATTGTTTCTGACCATGTCCATCCCTTTATGGCCACCATGTACCCATCCTCTGATGGCTACTTCCACCATGTCACAAAGCTCTAATCATTTCAAATTGGTTTCTTGAACATGACAATGAGTTCACTGTACTAAAATGGCCTCCGCAGTCACCAGATCTCAACCCAATAGAGCATCTTTGGGATGTGGTGGAACGGGAGATTCGCATCATGGATGTGCAGCCGACAAATCTGCGGCAACTGTGTGATGCCATCATGTCAATATGGACCAAACTCCCTGAGGAATGCTTCCAGCACCTTGTTGAATCTATGCCACGAAGAATTGAGGCAGTTCTGAAGGCAAAAGGGGGTCCAACCCGTTACTAGCATGGGGTACCTAATAAAGTGGCCGGTGAGTGTATAAGCCAATAAATATTTTACAATTATCAGATATCGTCCGATAAAAATTAAGTTGATAAAATAATCAATATAATGTGTATTCCTACTAAACCTCTTTTTAAATGGAGATGAAAAAAATATTCCCTGTATTGATATCAAAGGCACTATTTTGGCACAAATGTATCTGTCATTTCGTAGAAGCTAGCCAAACAGATGCCAACAAACCAATGTGTAGATGTGTGGAAGTCAACGCAAACCTTTATGGCAGCTAAGTGCAGTGGCGTCTCTCCATTGTGGTTCCTCTTCATGAAAGAGGGACTTGTCTGATTTCGTCTCACACTGGGAGACTTCCTCCTGAGGTCAGGGGTAGCTGGTGTGATTGGCTTCACATTCTGCTTCTCATTGGACTGTCTGGATGTCCTCTGAGAGGGGTCTTCAGTTCCTTCTTTAGATAACCTATTCTTCCGTCCTGAATTTCTGGGTTGTTTTGGTGTACTCTGCGGACCATAACTGTCCTGATTCTCTCTTGTTCTCTTACCAGTTCCAGGAAGGGAAGGCTGAGGAGGCCCTGGAGCATTTTCATTTGATTCTGGTGGGATATCAGTGTCAACCACAACCTGTTGATCATGATATGATGAACTCAAAGTTGCACAGTTTTGCTTTTCACGGTTTTCAATTTCCATATTTCTTAATATGCTTTTTTGGGGACTGGGAATTTGATTCTCTCCTTGGTGAGGAGCCTTATGAGTCTCCTCGGGCTGGCTGCGAGGGAAAAGAAAAGAAACTCTCTTACCGGACCCCCTGTATTCATCTCCAGAGCTCAGTTTCTCATGCTCTTCATCCTTCTTGTCTATAGCAGCCTGTTTTCCAATGGCCCAATGCTGATTGATAGCTTCTAGCTTCAGCCTCTTACATTCCTGCATAGTCTGAGTCCGTGTTGTGGGTCTTTGACCACCGCTGGCTTTTCTGTAGACTTGGCTCCTTTTTTTCTTTGTTTTCTTATTTGCCTTCCTCCGTGGAGGAGTGGATGAGCCAGATTCCTGGGAGGAAGAGGTGAAGTTGAAGACAGACAGGTCCTTAGGTTCAGACGAAGTGGCTTCCATTCCCTGGAATCCATTTGATTTGTTTGATCCAGCAGGTTTCTCAATACAGCAGCGTATTTTGCGACTTTTTGGGCTAAACCACATCTTGATGTTCTTCTTGTTCTTAGGGACAGAGCTCTTTTCTGATTGTACGGCAGTGGCCGTGGCTAAACAAAGAGAAAAAAATTCATTATTAAAAAATAGTCATCTCAGGAAGTCAAATGTTGAGCACATTAAAGTATTATTTTAAAGGACACAATGAGTGGGTTCCTACACATTTTCCATTTAAAAATCCATACTTTTACAGACTCAAATTTTCAAACCTCCTTCCAAATGATTTTTCCGGTGATATTTAACTTAAATGGTTAACTCAGCATTATTTTCATCACTATTTTTGGTATTTAGTACAATCATCTGTAAATATCTTTTTTCTGTGTTTTTTTTTTCATTGGTTTTCTCAAAGTGATAACATGCGCTAACATGATTATTAAAAATTAAAACCCTTTATAACCTGCATATCTGCACAATGAAAATGTGCACCTTGAAATCATTCAGTCGTGTTCGACAACCCCTAAATAATTACTGAACTTATGCCATGAAAACACTCTGCTTGTATGATACATTTATTTTTAGAAACTCTTAACTTTATATTTTACAAAACTGAATACGGGTGATAGTCTGGAAACACAGATACTTTTTTTCCTTTTGGTTATTCCATTTGGGGTTATTGAATTTATTATTCTTATAGCCTTACAAATTTTTTTGTTTTTTACTTGATGGCTATATCAAGTATTTAAATCTTGTTGTTGTCGTGTATATATATATATATATATATGTTTTTTTTTGTGTGTGTGTGTGTGTGTGTGTGTGTGTGTGTGTGTTTTTACTTCCAAAGATTTCTCCCTTTAATCATCTAAGACTTCCTTATTTGTCATTGACCCTTAAGCTTAAAAAAGAAACCTTTGAAAGAACAGTGAGCTTTGACATTATTTTAAATAGTAGCTAAATGTCCCCTGCTGACATTAACCTCAGAATGCTGGCAGAGCTAAAGCAGAGTGTGGTGTGTAAAGATGTAATGAGCACATTTATCCAGTGGTTTTATACACTTTTCCTGCCTAGCTGTTGTATTTGATGCTACAGCAGCACCAGCATGAGAGATTCAGCATGACCTCTCCACCAACTCAATCTCCTCTGCAGCGTTAAACTCCCTGACCCCTGGGGCACAGACCTGTCTGTCAGACAGCACATCTCTCTGCCATCGGCAACATCACCCCGAGCTTCAACTCAGCTCAGAGGAAACCGCCAGAGCTACTATGGAAAATTACATTGCATAATTATAGTCATTATCAGGCTCAAAGTTCAGTTGGGGATTTGAGTGTTGAAAAAAAAGGACCATCAATTTAAGAAGTCCATAGTGTTCAGTACATTACATTCAGGGATGTAATAATATACAAGTATTATGGTTATATAATTGGGTGCTTGATGTCATGATGTGAAGGTCTTGTCTTACTTGAGGACTCTGGTGACTCCAGCTTGCAGAATAACTGTTATGTTACTGAGCTGTTTGTTGATTTGAATGTCTTTCACCCAAGCAGGACCTTGGCACACAGTGCAACCATCACCAGCATAAGGTCCTGCACAAAACCTATAGGACAGATCACATGCATACTTTATTATTCTGTATACTTATCAGGGCTGGGTGATATAGTGGAAAAACAATGATAATATATATATATATATGTATGTATGCAAGTACCGGTCAAAAACATTACTATTTTTAATGTTTTTAAAAGAAGTCTTTTCTCACCAAGGCTCCATTTATTTGATCAAAAATACAGAACAGTAATATTGTGAATTAGAATTACAATTTTAAAATAATGGTTTTCTATTTTAATATACTGCACAATTAAGGCATTTTAGAAATGTACATTTTACATATACTGTACATTTTAAACACACACACATATATATTAGGGCTGTCAAACGATTAATCGCGAATAATCGCATCCAAAATAAAAGTGTGTTTACATAATATATGTGTGTGTACTGTGTACTTATTTTTAATACATAAATACCCACACATGCATGTGTATTTAAGAAATATTTGCATGTATATACTGTATATAGACTGAATGTAGCCTATATATAATGTATATTTTCTATAAATATAAACATTTTATATATAAATAACATTTTTCTTAAATATATACATGTGTGTATTTATATACAAAATAATTATACACAGTACACACACATATATATTATGTAAACACAAATAAATGTTTTTATTTTGGATGCGATTAATCGTGATTAATCGTTTGACAGCCCTAATATATATATATATACACATATTTGTGTGCGTATACATCTATACTATATATTATATTTGATCAAAAATACTGTAAAAACTATTGTGAAATTAAAATAATTGTTTTCTTTAAAGTACTCTTAATATTTAGTTTCTGCCATAACGGAGCTGAATTTTCAGCAGCCATTACGCCAGCCTTCAATGTCTCAATTCTTAATAATGACTCTTATTATTATTATCATTGTTAAAAACCGTTTTTGCTGCATAACATTTTTTGGAAACCATGATACATTTTTCTCAAGATATTTTGATGAAAGTTCAGTGAATGGCATTTATTTGAAGTGGAAATCTTTTGAAACCTTATAAAAGGCTTTCCTGTCCCTTTCGACCAATTTAATCTGTCCTTGCTGAATAAAAGTATACACTTCTTAAAAAACACCTTCCTTACCCCAAACTTTTTAATGGTAAAAAATTAGGCAACACAACCGGTCCAATGATAATAGGGGGAAAAATTGTTTTAGCTCCAAATCAGCATAATGATTTCTGAAAAATCATGTGACACTGAAGACTGGAGTAATGATGCTGAAAATTCAGCTTTCCCATCATAAATTGCATTTTTAAATTATTTCACAATATTACAGTTTTTAACTCTTCTTTCAAAAACATTACAAAATCTTAATTCTTCCAAACTTTTTACCGGTAGTATCAAAATAAATGGCTAAGGAGAAAGATCTGAGAACATTTGGAATCGTCGACACATTTTTTTTTAAGTAATACTTCTCTTATCCAAGGTAACTTTTAACTTATCAAAAACACCATTACTAAAGGTGTTATTACTGTTTAAATTAATGTAATTCAATCTTAATCTGTGATGAAAAGCCCCGTATGAGCAGCCAATAGTTCAGTCTAAGACAACATTACCCTATTCTTAAGAAATCACAGTAATGTGTTCATTTAGTACTAAAAAACCCTTTCTTATTATCTTAGCGCAGTTAAAAAGGTTGTCCTACTTAATGAAGTGTAGAAACAGCACTTCTACGGCTTTGTTTTGAGTATTGAGCACACTTGCATTCCTAAACTCTAGCTTCAAAAAAGGGCTGTAAAGAAACAGCTTTCTCAAGAAAAGCATCAGTTTGTTGTTCGTTTGAGAGATAAAGGCTATCGCATGTACTAGTGCCTCGAAAGAAGAAAGTAAACTGTGTTGAACCAGGACAGAGAGTGAAGTGGACAAGGCCAGATGCACAACACTGCAGAAGGCAAGTACTTCAGAGTCTCTAGCTTGAGGAACAGACGCTCAGCTGGCAGCTTCAATAAACAGTACACACCAAACACCAGTTTCATCTGCCACACTGAGAAGAAGACAGAGAGACGCTGGCCTTTTAAGAAGACTTTCAAAGATAAAACCACATCTGAAACTGCCAAATGTGAAGAAAAGGGTAGGATGACAAAAATAACATATGAACTCGATGGTAAATGGTTAGAAAAGGAGTATTATGGGAAGGTGAAAGTAAGTTTGAGATGTTGAAGGCCCATCCATAACAATAGGTAAATAATATGTTATGGATCAACCAGCCATAACAATAGGTAAAACCACAGATGTGCAGCAAAAGATTGTTGAACTTCACAAAATAGAAAGTGGCTATAAGAAAATTCCCATTTCCACCATCAGGGCAATAATTAAGAAGTTCCAATCAACAAGAAAAGTTCTGGAAGGCAAATTTGCCTGTCTAATATTGTTTTGATGCGCGGTGAGGAGGAGAGTTTGAGTGGCCAGAGACTCTCCAAGGATCACAGCTGGAGCAAACTCCAGCATATTCAGCATACACTATTTTATGGTCAGATGAAAGTAAAAAAAAAGAAAAGAAAAAAAAAAGAGCTTTTTGGCAGCAAAGCCACCAGATGGGTTTGGTGCAAACAGGGATAAATAGTACCCCATGTCCACAGTTAAATATGCTGCTGGATCTTTAATGTTGTGGGCCTATTTTTCTGCTGGAGGTCCTGGACTTCTTGTTCAGATACATGGCATCATGGATTCTGGCAAATACCAACAGATAAAAAATCAGAACGGCCTCTGCTAGAAATCAATTGGCCCATAGTTGGATCTTCCATCAGGACAACAATCCAAAACAGACATCAAAATCAACCCAAAAATGTGTCACTGAGCACAAAATGAAGCTTTCTGCAATGGCCATCCCGGTCCTCTGACCTGAACCCTATAGAAAATGAGTGGGGGGAACTGAAGACAACAAGCACTAACATGGAGCTGGGAATCTGGAGAGATTCTGTATGGAGGAATGGTCTCTAAACTCTTGTCAGGTGTTCTCCAAACTCATGCATTATAGGAGAAGACTCAGAGCTTTTATCTTGGCAAAAAGAGGTTGAAAAAAAGTATCGAACAAAAGGGTGTCATTACTTGTGCCCAACGTGTATTAGAGAAAAACATTATTTCATAAAGAGATTTTCCTCACATTTTCAATTAATTTCCTTCAATGAAAGGTTCGATTTTTGTGATTTTTTTAATAAAATATCAAAAAGATACCAATGCAGATTTATTTTCACATTTTATGTTCATAACTAGGTTGCCAGTAATTATGACCATGACTGTATGAATGCATGCGTTTGTGTGTGTATAGGCTACAGTGTAACTGTGTATGTGTATGTATGTATATATACACACACAGTCTCTCACACACACACACACACACACAAACACATAAAAATCATATATGTAATCAATCATATGCCTATAGGAGTGTAACAGTTTTAAAGGTATGTTTATTGGATATAGAGATATTCATGACATAAGCCTGATAAAGCTGCAACCCATAAATAAGCTGCAGATTCGGATACGCACGATGCGAAAACATACATAGCAATAATTTACTTAACCAGCAAAGCATATGGTCCAATATGGTTAATTGAGTACAAGGCTTACCGCCTAGCTCCTGAGATATGAGCTGTAAAATCATGTTAAAATGACTTTTTGGCCTGTTAGGACCAGGATGCCTGTCTGCTTTCATTATGAAACTAAAGCATAGCCTACCATTTAGAACACAGCAGAAGTTTTCGGAACTGTGCAAATACCTCTTTAGTCCTGGTAAATGTCTTAGGTTTTGGCAGAATGACAGGATGACATTTCTTGTTCCATAATAACCGAGAAAGAGACCGATCACAATATTTCTTTAAACAGACGTGTTTTGTTTTGCCATAGGTTTTTGCAGGTGGCGCCAACAGCGGGAAGGCGAAGGGGAGGAACTCAGTTGAGCGAACTTACACTCTGATTGGTCAACTGGGCTTTAGTTATGAAGTTCCGTTTTAATGGCTTTCCTTCCTTTATTTTTATATAATAGTTTTACTTACTTCAGAATAAAACGTCAATATAAATCATCCAAAACGTTTTGAAAAACTTTAAATATAAAGTATACTGTCTCATGGGCATTGTATTCTATATATAATATTGTGTCCTATATTGTCGTATATTGTCTTTTATATTGGATAAAATATTAAACATTTATAGATGGCAATCATATTAGTTTGTTTTTCTTTTATCACAAAAGCACAATTAAGTGAATATATGGGTGCACTGCATTCATAATTAGCCTACTTAATTTCATTACTTTGAGTGCTTCTAAAAAAAAAAAAAAAAAAAAACGTTTTCTTGAGAACATACTTGAGAATTAAATACCATGGGTAGTTGTGACTGTGATCATTTCCATTTTAATTTGACTATTGTGTATCAGTGTATCACTAAAGTACAATTCATCACCCTACTGTACATACCTATACAGTTCAGTCGGTTTGGTTAAGATGGTTTGTTGTACATTTGCTTTTAAAAATCCATCTGTAAAGTGAATGTATTTAGCTTTTTAAAATGCCATTGTGTGAGGGGTTAAGTCTTTTGAACTATTTTAAAATGACACCGGTGACAAATTATCAGAAAGTGTCTCACTTTACCTGTGTTCCCATATGTAAAAAAAAAAAGAAAAAAGAAAACTGAAATGCAGTTCGAATGAACATTGGATAGTTCATCACTTCCACAGTGCTTGATATTCTATGCAAAGAAATTGCATACCTCAACTCATGACATAAAGAACCAATTGCACCGCATTCAATAAGACAAACGCTCAACAACTGCATGTGAAAAATAGCTTTAATGTAAAAATAAGCTTGGTACATTTTTAAAAGAGGAACTGTGCCTTGAAGCAGACAGAGGAAAGGGCCGATGAAATATTCAGTACATTCTTGCACAAGAGATGTGCCTTCAGAGAAAATATTAATGAGAGTGAAGATGTGCAGACATTGAAGAATCATTTATATCTCGAAGCCAAAAAGGTCTTTGTGATTTATTTCAACCTCAGACAAGAGCTGCATCGATGCAGCCAGCAGTTTAACAGGATGGACTCTTCTCTCTGCATACATATTTAATTCTGTTATATTTTGATTAAAATATATATAATATATATCTGGTAGAGCTGGTCAAATTTCAAACAATGTAGTAAATAAATGACTTCATTTCCTTTGATAAGTAGCAGCGAATTTGTTTGACGACAAATGAAAGTAGACGTTGAATTTGCATCAAAATATGTAAACTAATGTAGACTTTGCAAATAACAAAACAAAACAAAAAAATCCATAAAAAGGTTATTTATTGTTGATCAATATTTGAACCCATATTTGGAAGAGTAGAAAGAAGATGAATACACATAATTTTTTTTATAAGGATCTTCAATAATTATCCATAAGGTATTTGGCGACTTCATTATTCAATAGCCTACAACATTTGCCTTTCATCAAAGTACAAACAAACCCAAAATATGATCGTGTCTATAAAAGATGTCCTATATATTAAATTAATGTCTTTTTTGAGGTTCATTGAATGTCATAACGTGCAAATATTTTATGAGTCTAAAGCATTGTACGAGTCTAGACTGTCGATGTCCGATCCTTCCGTGACTTCCTGTGCGTCTGTGTCCGTTTTCCCCATGGCGAAGTTAATGAAAACCTAAGGAGACAAGTCAAGACAAGCGTTTAGTCTCCACATCACCACCTCAGTGTCTCTTTTCATTTTTCTCCATTTTCACCATCACAATTAAACATTTTGTCATTATTTACTCATTATTTATTCATATTTCAGTGTATAACAAAAGAGACTTTGGTCTGTTCCTCACATAAAGCTCTTGAATGATTTCAAAAGAATAAATATAGTGTCAGGCAGGGTTATTATTATAAATGAATCTAATTGTTACTTGAAATAAAAGAAATGTTAATATATAATCAAATAAAATATAAAAACAGTATCTCTTAGTATTTTCTTTTAGTCTAAACCTGATGTACAAACCCCCCCTAAAACTACAACTGGGAAAAAAAAACTAGACATTTGACAAAAAGCCAGAACAAATGACTAAAACTTTAACTGAAATTAAAGTGAAAACTGAAAATACAAACAGACAATCTAATTCAAAATATGAATAAAAACTATAAAAGTATCTCAATGATGCTAAAAAAAAACACTGGTTTAAGGACTACTTTTATGACTTGACAAATCACTACGAACTGTAAGAAATGAGATGTGTGAAAATTCTTTAAACAAAAAATAAAATCTTTGTGTTCTACAAAATGTATCTTACCTCATCCAGAGTGGTCTGGCTGACTGAAAAGTGTTTGATTTGCAGTACAGCCTTGTTGGACTCTAGCAGGCCAAAGATTGAAGCCACACCACCAGGAGCAACAGGCACATGGTACTCCACCATATTCGAGTGATGATCCTTTATGGACAGAAGATGGATAACTTAGCTAGCTAAAACAACAGAATACACTTAAAGGGATCACATCAAAGATTTTTAGGTGTTTTTTTTTTTTTTTTTTTTTTTTTTACCTGAGGTCCACTAATAATGTTAGTAACATAATTTTCTTTGTCCCCAAAACAAGCATAATTAAATTTTTATGACCATTTCCACCCTCTCTGGCCCATGCTGTTTTTATTTTTGCTGCTGTGCCTTCAAGACTTCTCTTAGTGTAAACACCCTATTTACATGTGAAATGAGATACAGTGCATTGCTGTCAAGTCCAATATACTGTCATTTAAATCTTCAAAAATTGCATGTGGGCACATATGTGGGCTGTCACATGTTTAAATGTCTTCATCTGATGTAAAAAGCAGAAGTTCAGAACAGGCTGATTTCACAGCTTAGTTTTAAAGAGAATCTATTATGTGGTTTTTTTTTTTTTTTTTTTTTCAGCTTTCTTTAGTGTGTAATGTTTTTGAGCACGGAAAAAGGTCTGGAAAGTTAAAAAGCACAAAGTCACTCCAAAGAGAGATATTCTCTATATATCAGTAAGCACTGAAAGAGGTTCTGCAACAATGTAAAATATGAAAAACATTCAAGCATGAAAACTTGAATTGACTTTGTAAAAGAGTATAATATGTGCTCTTTAAATAGATACTCACTTTCACTGGAAAAGTTTTGAAACTTTCAGAATATGTTTTCATAGAACAATGATCTCTTATCATAGAAAAATCAAAGAATGTGATTCCTCATGTTATGACTCCAGAAATAAAAGTGATCAATTCATTTAAATTTAGGAGATATCCCAGAAAAAAATACCCCAAAAATGTGTTTAAAGAAAAACATCCTTATCGTGTGCTTTTTTTTCTCTCTCTCACCTTCAGGAACGTGCTGGGGAAATTCTGCTGCATGAAGTTACTGATCATATCTACATCATAGGAAGATCCAGCTAAGTACATCTTCACCGTGAATCCTTTGCCAAACCTGTCAGATGAACACAGATTATTTTATCACCAGGAAAAAAAAATTATGAAGCGTCTGCATGAGATATCAGGCTCTAGAGTGTGGAGACGTGAAAGAACTATGGAAAATAATTGGTAGAAGGAAGCACAGGACACAGAAAGATAAACCACTGACCTGTTCTTGATGT